CTCCCCCCACTCCCCACCTCTCCTTATTTTCCAAAGACATATTTTAAAATAATATCAAAGACTTGTTTGCTATACATCTTTCTCTACTAAAAGGTAGGGTCTTCAAGACCAGACACACTTGTCTGCTGTGTTCACTGTAGTAACGCATGTAGTACTAGCTGTACACTAATTTTTCAGAGGTGGGTGCTGCTTTGGCAGTTAAGATATTTGTGTTCCCTTTGGAATCACTGGAGTCAAGTCCTGGCTCTGATTCTAACGTTAGCTTCCCATTCATGCTCAGAAAGCTAACAGTGACGGCTGAAGTCACTGAGTTGTGTTGTCCATGTGGGAGACCCGCATTAAGTCCTCAGTTTCCAGTTCTGGCCTGGCCCAGGCCTGGCTGGTTTGAGTATTTGGGGAAATGAAACAGCAAATAGGAGTTCTCTCCATCTCTGAACTTCCTAACTACATAAACAGAGAAAATCTTTTGAATGAGTGATACACCAGGGATTCACAGCTACCATGATAATGAACTTACTGAGCAATGTCAAAGCCTTGTTTCATCCTGACAGGTCTCTGATTTAGGTGCTGTGTCCCCTGTCCTCACATGAAGCCACCTGAGTGCCAAGAGCTTCAGGACTGTGTCCAAGTGACTCTGGCAAATGAGAGTTGAGCTCAAACGGAGCAAGCTGTCTCAGGATTCTAGGCTGTTAGCAAGTGTTCTCTGCAAATGACTTCAATTAACTTGACACGTTTTTTCAGGGGGCATTTACTACAATCCAGGTGTAAAAAGTAGGGGAGTCTTTGGTGCCATTGCAGCAGCTTGCTCAGCAAGAGAAGGATATGTGGCTGATAGGGAAGCTGATAGGGTTTTCAACAAAGGCTGCAAATTAATCATACTTAATGAATGTGACTAATGTGTTAAAGGAATGAGCGATTAAAATATTAGCACGTCTGAACTTCTCCTCCCTGGCTAATTTCTTCTCCTCCTGAGGACTGCCATCTTTCAAAGAGGTAGGGGCACAAAATTGCGGAAATGGATTTTATGGAACAGAAACGCATTTTAAATGGCTTAAATTGGGGACAGCCTGTGCAGCTCTCAAGTGACTGTCAGTCTTCACGTCTCGCTGCTCAAGCGAAGGACGTGGGCTGAGAGAGAGGCCGAAGCTGTCACAACGATGGCCACTGGCAGCAGCAAGCCAGGCTAATGGTGCAGAAACAGGAGCAGGCGTGGGCCCTGGCAACAGGTGAGAGGGGAGCGCTCGAGGGGGTCCCCAAGGTGGGACCACAGCTGACCCCCTGGCCTTGCTGGCTGTATGGGATCACAGAGTGAAGCTGTGAGGCAAATCACCGGAGGATATCAGCTGCATTCTTACAACATGCTTCTCTTCCCTACCCAATACATACAGCCACTGCTCAGGTAGATGCATCAAGGCTGTTGAGAACGGAGGCATTTCAGGAAACAGCTCACATACGTGGAGAAGAGAAGCAAGCAGAGAGGGGATCCTGGTTTGGCATCAGATCAAGCTTGTAGGTAGAACTGTGTGAACCTGAGGTCTCAGATGTCTCAGTGCACAGGCAGGTAATGTGAGTGAATGACGTAGGTCCCATGCTGAGGAGTGAGTGCTGACCTTGGCCAACAGCTTGTCACCGCTTCTCTTCATGCGGGAACACAGGTCTAAAATGGGCAGACCTTTCAGAAGAAAAGGTGTGTGTGTGTGTGTGTGTGTGTGTGTGTTACAGTTCTGGGGGCCAGAAGACTGGAGGTTTGAGGGCAGATGCTACTCCGTTTCCCTACTGCGCTGGAGCTAGCCCCTCCGTCCTCCCTGGCCCTTGGATTACCTAGGCCCACATGGACGAGTCAGGATAATCCCCAGCACAGGATCCTTTATTTTCTCCATAAAGCCCTCTGCCACATAAGGGAACACAATCTCGGGTCTCAGGGATTAAGACACAGATATCTTTGGGAGATGTGCTGAAGGGGGAGGGGCATATCAGTCTTTCTGTTGAAGCATGCTTGTGAGAATGCTCGTTACCGCTTGTAAATGTTCACGAACAGTTCTGAGCCTACAGCATTGTTTATGCCATGGGTCTCTACGTGAACCTGAGCTAGAGGAGACTGACTTGGGTGTCCTGTCTACGACTTGTCACCCCTGATTTAAAATACTCAGCTTTGTCGAGAGGAAGGCTTTGTGTCAGTCCTGCTGCACTTCGCTCTTCAGGCTTCTTGGGAATTGAGAGGCTTCCCACACATGGAGGTTCCCGGGGGCCTTTGCTAGTTCCCCATGATTATAAAAGAAACAAGCATATATGAAGCCCTTGCTGTGTACCAAGCACAGCACCGAGTATTTCACAGGCATTGTTTCTTTTCATCCACACGGCATTTGTGTTTTTCCTCTGTTTTGTACAGATGAGGAAGCTGAGAGCTGAAGTTGCTCCCAATCCCACAGCTAGGAAGGTGGCAGAGCCCATGTCCTGACCAGGCTGTCATTCTCCAGAGCCCTGGGCAGCACTCCAGAAAAGAACAAGCTGCTGCGGGAAAGCTGGCAGCCCTCCAGGTAAAGCCAGACTGCCAAGCGGAATCCATGTCATCCGGTCTGGGTTCCCATATGCCTGAGCTCCCAGGTGCTAGCTGCCTTCCGTGAAAGGATGGGTATTGAACCATGCAGTTACCTTTCTCCCGCGATAGCACTGGACTAGAGCCAGAACAAATGGGTTCTCACGTCCATCGATGATCATTTTGAGGAGGATATTTGTCTTCTCTGGGCCTTAGTGTCTTTTCTGAAAATGTTGCTACTGTCATTACTATGATAAACATTTAGGTAGCATCACTGTGTGCCAGGCACAGTTCTGTGCACCTCACAACATATCCCTCCATTTAATCCTTAAAATCTCTTCCGGTTAGATACTGTTATCCACATTTTATAGAAGAAAGAGGCAGACGGAGAGGTTATATAACTTGCATAGGACATAGCTAGGGGCGTGGCTGGACTGGACCTGAATTCCATGTGCGGGTAGCAGTTTCTATTCTGTGCAGCCCAGGTGTGAGGGCCCATGAAGGATCGCTCCCTCTTCTGCCTCACAGAGCCGCTATGAATACAGTGAGCCGTCTTACAGTGTGTGGGAGCTGTCTGAAGTGCTTGCTTTCGTCCTCAGTGCTGCTGCAGTGGGGGTGGGAATAAGCTCAGCGCCCACAGGACTCCTGGGAAGCAGCTTCCACTGCAGGGCCTTGAGGATGGTCAGGGGAAGTGCAGGACAAGAGGCCAGGGTGGACCTAGAGAGAGATCAGAAGTCAGCCAGCTAGGATGCAAGTTGTTCAAAGCAGGCAGCCTTTCAACTGAAAATACTACCAGGAAGCCCAGTGGACACATAGGTCAGCAGAAGGTGCCTCCAACACAGAGCCCGCGCCCAGCACAGTGCTCAGAAACCTGTATCCGCAGAGCTGTCAAGTGTGTGCATGGCTTCTGTTGATTCGGCTGGGCAGCAGCAGGACCCAGCCAAGCTCTTCCCAATCTCACACGTGTCCATCTACAGCCCCAAACCAGTCAGGATTATGGAGCCACTCACACCCTAACATATCATCTTGTTAGGGGTTTCCCTAGCCTGCATACAAGCTCAAGTAACCCACAGGGCACCTGCTCAGTGGTGATAGCAACACCACCCTAAGAGCTTATGTGCACAAGCCAATGCTGAACTGGCAGTGAAGTGAGGTGCTAGGTGCAAACAGAAGTGACCTGTGCAGAGGGGCACGCGCCCAACCCCGGAGGAGACTGTGTGCTCCCCTCAAGGGTCCTAGTGCTCTCTGTCCTGTTCCCCAAGGTAAGGCCTGGGTGGGTAACAACCCTTTCTTAATATGTTAACCCTTTTTAATTCAAATAAATGAAAAATCAACTTAGTCTCACTAAACCAATAGAAAACCAGGAGGGAGAGAAAACAGATACTGTGACAAAATATTACTGAATTCCCTCGAGATTTAGTTGTCAGTAAAAGCTCAGAACTGAGGCACTATTCCATGTAAAGGGCGGGTAGCAAGTGTAGACAGTATCAGTGCGAAACCGCGTGTCTCACCGGTGTTTGGGGATGCAGAAGTAAACAGATGACAGAAAGTGATTCAGAGACCAAGCCTTCACTCCCCCGAAATCTCATTGGGGAAACTGGCCTTGGTGAAGGGCAGACCAGGGAGGCCTCCCTGCTCAATTCCTAACTGGCCTTGAGCAAAGAATCCAAGGTCTCCTAATCGCAAAATGTCAACGACAACCTTTGTTGGTTCACAGGGTGATTACAAACCAAAGACCCCCCCATGAAGTAGACGCCCTAAACGATTGTCATCCTCACTATTGTTAAGCTTTGCTCACAGGTCCCTGGCCCTTTTAAGATTTTGCTTTTCGTTAGCTAACGACAAATCATCAGAGCAGAGACGGGGAGGGAACTATTACCCGTATTTCAGCTATTTATAACTGGTTGTTTTTCTGCAATTGTCCTATACGACACTTCGACCTTAAAGACCTCAAAATTGCCCCCAAGGGTCACTCTCCGAGGTCTCTACGGACCGCCTGGCCCCAAGTCTGGCGAACAATCAACCACTCCAGCACAAACCAGACAACACAGAAGGACAGAAAGGGCGGCAAGCTCCGCCCCCTCCCTCTGCCCCGCCCCCAGGACAGACTGACGTCAGAACGGACACAAAGGACGGCAAGCTCCGCCCCCTCCTCTGTGCCCCGCCCCCAGAAAGACCGACGTCAGAACGGACACAAAGGGCGGCAAGCTCCGCCCCTCCCCCAGCCCAGAACAGGACACAAAGACGGACAGAAAGGACAGGAAGCTCCGCCCCTCCCTCTGCCCCGCCCCCAGGATAGACCGACGTCTGGAAACGAACGGGCGGCAAGCTCCGCCCCCTCCCCTTTGCCCCGCCTCCGGAGCTACGCTCCTCTACGGGTTCCCCGCCCGGAAGGAATCCTGTCGGGCCGGCGCGCTGGCGTCACGGTCCCTACGCCTGGCTCGCGCCTGCGCGGCGGGCGGAAGGTCGTCTCTGTGACCGGCTTGGCGGTTGAAGCTACTGTCGCCATGTTGTCTGTCGCTGCCCGCTCCGGTCCCTTCGCGCCGGTCCTGTCGGCCACGTCCCGCGGGGTGGCGGGCGCGCTGCGGCCCCTGGTGCAGGCCGCGGTGCCCGCCACCCCGGAACCGCCCGTGCTGGACGTGAAGCGACCCTTCCTGTGCCGGGAGTCGCTGAGTGGCCAGGCCGCGGCCCGGCCTTTGGTCGTCTCCGTGGGTCTTAATGGTGAGCCGGGCGGAGGAACTCTCTTTAGTCCTGGGCCAGAACGCGGTCGAGCGGAGTGCGGGTGGTTGCGGGACCTCTCGGGAAGGATCGGGCGCTCTTGGGCCGGCCCCTGCGCCCTCGGCCAGCCCTCCCTCCTCTGTGCCAGGTCCGGTGCGCCCTCAGCCACCCCTCCTCTGTGCCAGGTCCGGTGCGCCCTCAGCCAGCCCTCTGTGCCTGGTGCCTCTGCGCCCTCGGCCAGCCCTCCCTCCTCTGTGCCAGGTCCGGTGCGCCCTCAGCCACCCCTCCTCTGTGCCAGGTCCGGTGCGCCCTCAGCCAGCCCTCTGTGCCGGGTGCCCCTGCGCCCTCGGCCAACCCTTCCCCCTCCCCCGTGCTCCTGCACCCTCGGCAGGCCCTCGCCTGTGCCGAGTGCCACTGAGTCCTCGGCCAGCTCTCCCTCCTCTGTGCCGGGTGCCAGTGTGGCGCTCAGCTCCAGGATGCTCCCGCCCTGGGGTCCCTGGCCCCTGGCCCCTGGCGGGCAGTCTGGGTTCTCCCTTTACAGGCCAGGTGTGTGCCTCGATGGTTGATTTGGGCTTCCTGAAATCCGATTGCCGCCCCAGGGGCTGGCAGCGATGTTGATTACAAGTCCTTTGACTCCCGGCAAGCTTTCTGTGAACTTTTTTTTCCTACCCTGAGAAGTGGATTGGTGGTTATATAAAATTCGTAGGTTTGCAGTGCGGCTTAGATGGCAATGTTCTGTGTAAAGCCGTTGGCATCCTCCAGGCACTAAATAAATCAAAGGCGTGGCCTGTCGTTTGTACTTGCAAAGTTGTCCACCTCAACTCTGTAGATTGCCCTTCCCATCACCTCCCTGTACTAAAGCAGTGACAGCCTCAAGCTCAGCAGCCCAACAGAGTGTTAGCAGTGTTTTCAGGCACCTGAGCAAGGGTTCGCAAAACCTAAACCTCAGGAAGGGGAAGGAGTTGGTGATGTTCCCATTTTACGGATCAGAGCAAACCGCAAGGGATGAAGTGACTGGCCAAGGGTATGCAGTGTGGGCATGATGGAACAGGATGCTTCAAGACCAGTTGTCTTGCTCCGGGCTCTTGCCAAGAGTGCATTTCACACCCTGTTGGCAGATTCCAGATTCTGTGCCTTGGCTTCCATTTCCCTCCGTATTGGAGACGGTGAACAGAGGGCCTGCATGCTCATGTGTAATTTTGAACAAACTGAGAGAAAGGTGTCTTCAGATGTGGCTGGCATTACTGGGCTCGTTTGCTGCGGGGGTAGAATTGGTCCTGGACTCTGTTTTGACTGTCCCTGTTGCTTAGAGTCCTCTCCGGACCCACGTGTCTCAGTGTTGCCATACCCGGCTCCTTGAGTTTGTGACCCCTTCCCAACGTGCCCACCGAATTTCCTTGCTCTTTGCCCCTGCTCTTATTTATTTACCCTATACTTTGCACACTCAGTGCTCTTCTGATTTTCACGTGTCCACAAGTCTCACTTGTCCTTTCAGAGTCATGTCAATCACCTTTTATGTTTGCTGATTTCTTTATGTCTTAGTAATGTATATAACACAACGTGTAACACTTCTCTTGTTTTATGAGTGATTCTTCTGACCTTGACTTTAAGGGCATTGCCAATGTCTTTGTCTCCACAACCTTGCATTTTACAGTTAATATAAAATATATGTGACGATATTAGGGAGTACCAGTGGCATTTGGGTGGGCAAGCTGTCCAGGGCAGAGAGGGCCTACCCCAGCCTGTTCCAAGTCCTAGAGGTGAGAAGGAAGAGTGGAGATGTTCCTCTGAAGGTGGTCAACGTCTTTGGAGTTTATCAGCTGCCCGGAGGGCTTCTAATAAAGGAGATTTCTCTGCCCTATGAAACTGTTCTTCCTAAAATAGGCAGATGGAGTAGAGCCAGAGGCAAAATTGTTTCTGTTTTTTTTTCTGTGTGATCATGCCTTCAGCTCGTACCTTCAGTTCATATAAAGTCTGTGTTGGTGGTTTATGGAAGATAAGCAGTGATGGCACGTGAGGAGTTGGATCAGGAGAAGGTATTTGGCTTGTGGAGGGTGATTAAACTGTGTGATGTAGATTTGCCAGGTACATTAGCTTACCTCAAAGCTGAAAGGAGGACGGGGCAGTGCGGGTTAAGCTACTGCTACACCCATGAGAGTGCCAGTTCAAGTCTTTGCTATGAAAAAGAACTAATGTGGATGCTATAAATAATTTAGAGAACAGTTTTTGCACATAGTGACTTAATTTCCGAAAGGATTTTTGGTGGTGTGGCACCTGCAAGAGAAGAGTAAGACAGCTGTGTTTTGTTGGCCAGCAGAGCTGAGTGAGGATGGCAAGACCCTTGGGGGTCAGTGGTTATGGATATGTTTTTTATGTAGAAGAATGCATTTTGGTGCTGTCATCTTTTTTGTGTACTCCAAAGCAAAACTGGGGGACACACTCTTGCTTGTGAGTAGCACATGGTGCAGTGTTACTTGGATTCCACAGTTAGTGTGAATGCTGTGTTGCCACTTATGTCCTGGCCTCCTCCAAAATAGGATTGAGTTAGTCTGAAAAGAATATCCAGTGATTTAAAAAATTTTTTTTTAATATTTTATTGTTGTTGGAAAGTCAGAAAGATTTTCCATTCGTTGATTCACTCCCTAAGTGGCCACAATGGCAAAAGCTGAGCCAATGTGAAGCTAGGAGCCCAGAACCTCTTCCAGGTCTCCCCCCACAGGTTCAGGGTCCCAAGGCTTTGAACCATTCTTGACTACTTTCCCAAGCCACCAACCAGCGGGGAGCTGGATGGGAAGTGGGGCTGTCAGGATTAGAACCAGTGCCCATATGGAATCCTGGCACATGTGAAGCAAGGACTTTAGCCACTAGGCTACAACGCTGGACCCCATCAAATGATTTTCAATGTAGTCTTCATAATTGCATGTGAATACTTGTGGCTTGCATAAAGTTGGTGGCCTAGGCAACGCTGTGCAGAGCAATTGCATTGTTCTATGATGTCATGTTTGACTACTTGAGGGAGTATGTTAGGATGAGACGTAGCAGTATCCATGTATGAATACATAATTTGCAAAAAAAAATTTAGAAGTGTGCCAATAAGTTGTTTTGGCTAGAATTTTTAACGATTTATTTATTTATTGGAAAGTCAGATATACAGAGAGGAGGAGAGACAGACAGGAAGATCTTCCATCCGATGATTTACTCCCCAAGTGAGCGCAACGGCCGATGATGCTATGCTGATCCGAAGCCAGGATCCAGAAACTTCTTCCGGGCATCCCACACGGGTACAGAGTCCTAAAGCTTTGGGCCGTCCTCGACTGCTTTCCCAGGCCACAAGCAAGGAGCTGGATGGGAAGTGGAGCTGCCGGGATTAGAACAGGTGCCCATATGGGATCCTGGGCGTTCAAGGCGAGGACTTTAGCTGCTAGGCCATGCCGCCGGGCCCGCTAAGTAAAATTTTAGAAAAGATGATGTTCCTACTCTTAGAGAAGCCATCACCTCACCTTCACTGAGGGAAGGGCTGTGTGAGCATTTTATACCAGCTCCTGCCCTACCTTACTAAATTGGAATAATTGATTCTCTTTTTTTTAAGATTTGTTTTTGTTAGAAAGTCAGATATACAGAGGAGAGACAGAGAGGAAGATCTTCCATCCACTGATACACTTCCCAAGTGGTCACAACGGCCAGAGCTGAGCCAATCCCAAGCCAGGAGCCCGGAGCCTCTTCCACGTCTCCCACATTTGGACTGTCCTTCCTGCTTTCCCAGGCCACAAGCAGGGAGCTGGATGGGAAGCTGGGCAGCCAGGATTAGAACCAGCACCCATATGGGAGCCCAGTGCACTCAAGGCAAGAACTTCACCGCTAGGCTACGGCACTGGGCCCAAATAATTGGTTCTTTTGCAGAGTCCATTTTAGACAGTGCCTATTCTGTAAGCATGTTCTTATCTGCCTATTAATAGTTTCACTTGAAACTAAAGTAAGACTAGTTATATGCTTAAGTTTTCTGCTACTAAAGTTATACCAAATCATTACAGAATATCCATGCTAAATTTTTAGCAGTTCTTTCAAAATGTGTTTAGGTAGCAGTTTTAGACATGTTAAGCTCAATATTGGTTAAAATGCCATATTGGTTACCCTGGATAAGTTGGGGAGGGTTGGTCTGTTGTAATCCGGAAAGCATGGGAGGTGTTTGCCATGGTTGTTTATGTTGTGATTTCAAATCAATATGAATAGTGATTGACTTCAATCTATACAGGCCTATTTTTCTGATTTATCCTTTTCAGGACTTTTGTCTAATTTTTTTTCCCACCTTCTGTTTGTCTTGCAGTCCCCGCCTCTGTCCGTTACTCCCATACTGACGTCAGAGTGCCTGACTTCTCCGACTATCGCCGCAGTGAAGTTCTAGATAGCACCAAGTCTTCAAAAGACAGCAGCGAAGCTAGAAAAGGCTTCTCATATTTGGTAACAGCCACAGCTACTGTGGGCGTTGCATACGCTGCCAAGAATGCCGTCTCGCAGTTTGTTTCCAGCATGAGTGCTTCAGCGGATGTGTTGGCCATGTCAAAAATTGAAATCAAGTTATCTGATATTCCAGAAGGCAAAAACATGGCTTTCAAATGGAGAGGCAAACCCCTGTTTGTGCGCCACAGAACCCAGAAGGAAATTGAACAGGAAGCAGCGGTCGAAGTGTCCCAGTTGAGGGACCCACAGCATGATTTAGACCGAGTGAAGAAACCTGAATGGGTTATCCTAATAGGTGTCTGCACTCATCTTGGTTGTGTACCCATTGCAAATGCAGGAGATTATGGTGGTTATTACTGCCCTTGCCATGGGTCGCACTATGATGCTTCTGGCAGGATCCGGAAGGGGCCCGCACCCCTCAACCTTGAAGTTCCTGCCTACGAGTTCACTAGCGATGACTTAGTCGTTGTGGGATAGAGACCTGGCCTGGGCCTGTTTCAGTCTTCGCATCCTTTTGAAAGAGATGAGAGCGAGTCTTACGTATCACCAGTTGGTTGATTCGGAATGTTAAGGATGTTAATAATATATTTGCGAACGTTAATGTGAATTAACCTCAATGTGGAAATCTTTAAAGCATTCAATTAAAGCCATTGTCAGACATTGTTAAGCTCAGTTATAGACTTGGAAGGTGCAATGTCTTTGATAGCTAATTCTAATTAAAAATTAAAATCTGATATACATGATATTTGTGAAGCCTCTAATTTGAGTTTAATTTCTTGCACATGTAATTTTCTGTGTTGTGTGTGGGACACAGATTCTGCAAATGTAATTATTAGGATGAGGTAAAATTCGGTAGATCCCTGCAAGTACTAGAAGGTGTCAGTGGCAATGAGGAGTATGATAGTATCTAGTTTCCCCTTTTTTCATGGGGCTTCTGATCATTTTCTCTGCCTCTGTGAACTCTATGATAATGTTGAAAGTGATCTGTGGAACAAGGTGTTGGCTCCGCTGGTGAGGCCCCAGATCTGGCTGATTCCTTGCTGTGTGACAGGTCAGGACATCTTACCTGTCCGTTATGGGAGTAAATTAGTGCTTACTAGAATTCTATAGTTTTGAGTGGTGAATTTCCAAAATGGGAGTTACTCCCTGCCTCTGATGTTTTTGCATATTCACATCCCCAAAGCTGCTGCATCAACAGCACCAAGATTTAGAAGTGGAGCACCTGAGACAACATTGTCCTATGAAAATCACCCCGTCATTTGTTTCTGTGGTGATTACCTTTTGAGGTGGTTTTCCCAGTTAGATTTGCTATCATCTGGCACTTTGCGGTGTGAAGAGGCAGGAGTCAGTGCTGGTGTTCTAATCTACCTCCTCCCTCCAATTACACTGAGACAGACCAGGGTCTGCTGTTTCCCCTGGCAACTGGGAGGGGCCTTGACCTTTGTTGCGATTTGCAGCTGCTTTCTGGTTTGGAGGTAGGTACTCTCTTGGGGCTTCCTTGTACTCAGTGTGCACTTGTGAAGTAGCAAGCTTGATTAAGGAGGTCAGTTTGTCCAGCAGGAACCGACCATCCAGGCTTCCAGTGTAATGTCATCAGCTAGATATTTGTGTCAAAGGAGGAAATGTCAAAGTTCGTGCTTATGGACACCTTGCTCCTTGATTTATCATTCTAAGAATAAAAATGAGTAGATGTAATATTTGGTAGGGCACATAAAAGAATATTATGGCCTTTAAGTGTCCAGGTGATGAAGGGTGCTTCTGGCATTTGAGGGTGATGGTGGTGGGTTAGAAATGCATGGGGTCGGTCGTAAGGGAGGCAGAGGTTAACAAAATTAGGCTGCCAAAAAATGTCAACAGCAATCTTTCTCTACAAAGACATACTGAAACCCCATGGCACAGTCTCACACTGAGAGGCCCCTTGAAATGTTCTCCTTTCATGTTTGAAATGTTGAAGTATTACAGCAGAAGCCTCTGCCTGGCAGTGAAGACACAAAGGGAAATTCGTGGGTCCTTAGATGTCACATCACAGGTAGTCTAACTGGAATGGCTGTAATTGTGGGCCACTTACATCTTTGGTCATTTTTCGAGTTAAGTCCCAGTAACCCATTTAATTTTTAAAAGATGGCTTTGTGATGGCACACATAAAACTACTAGACACTGGCTGAATGACCAGAGCAGACCTACTTTAGATTTTTTAGTAGTTGGCAGAAAACAAAAATTTTAGTTATTAAGGGGAAATGAGTTAGAATATGACTGGTTGACATTCTGACATCAGTTCATTAACCTGTACTGCTTTTTACTGGGAATAATTCTAAAGGTGAGTTTAAGCCCTTGGCCTTTTCATTATGCTTTAAGAGAGTATTCCTATAAAATGGGCTCCTCGAGAATCTTACATTATTAGAGACCATATCAAGTTCTCTGGCCTTTCTTCACGTACCTATGTGGGATCTTTGACTCCATGTGAGTGAACAGAGGGCATTTGTCCTTGCTTGGTATTTATGACTTGAGATCGGAATGTGCTTTTTGTACTGTTATTTTTCTAAATAGTGGGACGTAACTATTTGAATGTCAGAAACCATTATTCATTCTTGTACTAAATCTCATTTTTTGTATTTTCCTATAATTTGAATTTTATTGCATTTTATGGATGAACCCAAAAATAATGTCCATATTTTTCAGAGTGGTATATTTTGCCACAACTTATACATACTTTCCATCCTGGAATTTGAGACATATTTTGATTTGAGGGGAAGAGATTATCAAGCAGGTGAATTGATCAGTTCTACTTTGAGGAAGAAAATTTTTAGGTTTTTTTTTTGGTTTGTTTTTGACACTCAGCACTATTTTTTAGAACACAAGAATGCTCCAAATGAGCAGACGGGAATATTAGGTTAAGGTGGTTTCTAGTGTAGGTATTTAAAGGAGACCCAGATACACCTCATCAGGGAGCCTGTTCAAGTGCTTGCCTCTGAGTGCTCATAACAGAAGGTCATAGATTCGAAATCTCCGGTGTTAGCACAGATCAGTTTTGGGCTTCAGCAGTGTGTGTAGTGTCTCCTGCGTATTGATCAGTGTAAGACTGGTTTATCAGCTGGCTGTAATTTATATTTTTGTAGTTATTACCTAAATGCATGCAAAAGTTTAGTCTTGGCTTTTGAATTCTTTATCTGGTTAGAGTATTTGCAAAGGTACAAAATGGAAGTATAAGTCATGGATTTTTTTCATACATTTTAGAAAACGGGTTCTTTAATCAAATGGGAAAAAAGGCTAATACAATTTACATCATTGTCTTAAAGTTTGCCATTTGAACATCCACACATGGTTAAAATTTCAACTTGTGCTTTTTCCGTTGTGTGAGGGAATGCTTGCTTTCTTAGTTTTCCCCTTTAAGCATGGTCTCCTGTGCTGTTTTTGTGGGCCCCTGGGGACAATATTCTGAGGGCCCCAGCTGATTTCAGTACATGAAAATCAAATCATAATCCTTAGTAAACTATATTCTCCTTAGTAAAGGATTATCTATTAGACTGTTTTAGATAGAATTTTTTTTAAAGATTTATTTATTTTTATTGGAAAGTAAGATATACAGAGGGGAGGAGAGACAGGAAGATCTTCCGTCCAATGACTCATTCCCAGGTGACCGCCAATCTGAAGCAGGAGCCAGGAACTTGTTCCAGTTCTTCCACACAGGTGCAGGGTCCCAAGGCTTTGGGCTGTCCTCTACTGCTTTTCCAGGCCATAGGTAGGGAGCTGGATGGGAAATGCAGCTGCCAGGATTAGAACCAGCACGCTTATGGGATCCTGGTGCGTTCAAGGCGAGGACTTTAACTGCTAGGCCACCACACTGGGTCCTTAGATAGAAACTTAAATAATCAAATGACTAGGTAGAAAAGCATGTGAAGTTGTAGAAAAAGATAGAAATACTGGTAGCATTATTTAGTGAGGTATAGCAATAAGGCAACGGATGGGTTGCCTATTAGGTATTCAAAAAGGTAGCTTAGCTGGAGATAGGCCCCTATTCGGACTGTGATTCAAAGATTGATACTAACCTGAGATGCACAGTGGTCCCTGGACGTTGTGATTGGCACAGGTATGTATAATTTTGATGTTGATGGAGAACAAAGCTGAATTCATCCATGGTAATAGTTTCCATCGTAAGGTTTTCCCTTCCATTTAGGTTTGGGAAGTTAGCAAATTTATGTCAAAAGCTAGTTCTTTGAAAAGATCAGGGAAATAGGTAACACTTTTCTAAGCTTGGCAAGGAGAAAATTGAAGTAAAATAAAAGGTAAGATGAAGAGTTAGCTATCACTCAATTAAAGTACTAAGGAAAGAATTCAAGTGAATGAGAGTGACACTGTAAAGATTAGGAAGTATAGATGACCTTTTAGAAAACTCAAAAGCCAAAATTGGCCCAAGTGGAAACCTTAAATACAGCAAAGTTGCCAAGGCTAGATGATGTCATACATTGGATTCTATACAGAAAGATAATTCCAATGCTGTTTAAATTTTAAGTTGCTCAGATCAGATGCAGCCTTATGTGAAGGCTGGAGATCTGGGTTGGGACTCAAGATTGTTCATTTCTCACAAGCTCTCAGTGATGCCGGCTGCTTGCCCACAAACCATACGTTTGTGTTGGCAGAATTCTGAATCCTAGGAATGCAGGTGGAAAATGAAAGTTCTACAAATTATTTCATACAAATAATAGAAATAATTTAGTAATTATTATAAAAATAAGCTATTTGAGTACATAAACATTTCTAAATGAAACAGCAGTAAAGAAACCTAATAAATAGCAAAAGAATAGTACTTTGACCAAGTAATATTATTCCAGAATGGTAGAGTTTTGGTGTCAATGCTATTTGTTCAACTAATGAAGAAATAGTTTTCATATAATAAATATCAGAAAGTCCCTGATATAATCTAAATAAAGTAGGGGAGGAGTATGTTTAATTATGAAGACTGTTTACCAAAACCTAAATTGTGGAAAACACAACTGGGGAGATCAGTGTAGCTCATTGTCACTAGCGTTGCTTAATACTGTCTTAGATCCTGGAAAATGAAGTAATGGGCCAAGAGAACTCTGGCAGAGAAGATAACAAACCAAGCCTAGCACCACGGCTCAATGGCTGAATCCTCAGCCTGCAGACACCAGGATCCCATATGGGCACTGGTTCCTGTCCCTCCACTTCCCATCCAGCTCCCTACCTGTGGCCTGGGAAAGCAGTCGAGGACAGCCCAAAGCCTTGGGACCCTGCACCCACATGGGAGACCCAGAAGAGGCTCCTGACTTTGCAGCGCCTGGGCTTGCTCCTGTTGTTGTGGTTGCTTGAAGAGTGACATGGCAGACGAATATTTGTCTCTTTGATTTGTTTTTCCAATGAAAACAAATCTTTGAAAAGGGGAAAAAAAAAAGATATAAACCCATAAACTGATCAACATAATGCTAGGGAGAAGAATTTGGCAAGACGCTGAAAATTTTAAGAAAATAGGTAAAACCTTTCATTAGATCAGAAGTAAACTGCTAAAAATGAAGAGGGAAATGTTACCTAAAGCAGCAGGGATTCTTGTCAGATCTCTAGGGTCATCTTGGACTCCTGAACTGTGCAGCCTGCGTGGAGCTTACCCAGTCTATACAATTTATCATGGCAGCAGGTAACAGGCCAAGACAATATGCAAGTTACTCTTGGATGAAAACTGTTTTAAAGGCACTTTTCCTACATGTAGGACAATGTCTGG